ATAGAATAGAAAATAGAATCGAATAGAGAGGAGAAGAGAATTAGAATAGAATAGAATAGAATAGAATAGAATAGAATAGAATAGAGAATAAATAGAAAGAATAGAATAGAATAGAAAATAGAATAGAAAATTGAATCTATCTATCTAAAAGCGAAATGCCACTCATGCATCATTACAAAATCTCCAGAACCGTAAAGCCTACAAACTTGAAATTTGGCACTTATGTTCCTCTTGGCTTCTAGGGGCTCACTAAGAAAGGTTTTTTCAAAATGACCATCAGAGCATTTAGACTATTTCCTATATTATTATTATTAACACGCTCTGATGCTAAGGAGTTCGACTCCCCCTCCCCACCTGAAAAAAAGAAATCTCTTCCAAATACAAAACACAAGGAGAGGAGTTTCAGTTTTAGTTTCAGAGCAGCAAGCAGCTTTAGGACAGAACAGTTGAGCTAAGCCATGCCCAGGCTCCTTGCTGTCTCCTTCTTGCTCACACAGCAAATATTGCTTCAGTTTCCAAACAGCCCTCAACTCTCCCACACACTGACAGGACGCTAGCCAGATGAATACCAATGAATGCTGGTAGGCAGAGGCACAATTCCTCCTCCCCTTATTTTCTTCCCGAAAAACTAAGCCTGACCACATAGTTTAATAGCAAATCATGGGTACCGAGCTAGTTGAAAATAGAATAGAAAATAGAATAGAATAGAAAATAGAATAGAATAGAAAATAGAATAGAATAGAATAGAAACTAGAACAAAACAGAATAGAAAATAGAACAGAACAGAATAGAGTAGAAAATAGAATGGAATAATATTGGAATATAGAATGGAATGGAATTAGAATTAGAAATAGAATTCTTTATTGGCCAAATGTGATTGGACACACAAGGAATTTGTCTTCAGTGCAAGAGTCCTCAGTATACATAAAAAAATACAAGTGATGAATCATTTGAACTCTAAATTATGGCATCTGGTGTTTGACATAAATAAGCAACAAACCAAAGTTATCAGAAATACTTGGGAGTCTTCCCTGGCAGGTGAGTTAGACTCACCGTTGAGTCCTGGAATGCCAACTTTAAGAGCAAACAGAGAAGAGGGTATAGAAGATAATATGATAGCTCAGGGTTGAGCTGTGGGGGTCCTGGGTGCTCTCTGAGCTTGGTGGCTTTCTTGCAGATGTTTCATGACCCAACTATGTAACATCAGTTTTATACTATAGTGTATTTCAAGCTTGGCCAGTTTAACACGGGTGGATTTCAACTTCCAGAATTCTGGGAATTGAATAACCACCTCCTCCTCCTCCTCCTCCTCCTCCTCCTCCCCCCCCCCCCCCCCCCCCTCCCCCACCCCCCCCCCCCCCCCCCCCCCCTCCTTGTAAAATACCAATCCATTCTAGCACTAATGGGTTGAAAATACTAACTACTTTGGTCGTGAAACATGCTGGCTGGGGATTCTGGAAGTTGTGTTCTGGAAGTTGTATACTGCAAAAAGAGGGCTGTGAAAATACTTACAGACCCCTCACATCTTGGACATAAACTGTTTCAACTCCCATCCTCAAAACGACACTATAAGAGCCCTGCAGACCAGAACAACTAGACACAAGGGGAGTTTTTTCCTGAACACCATCACTTTGCTAAATCAATAATTTCCTCCACACTGTCCCAACTATTTACAAAATCTGCACTACTATTACTATTAATCTACTCATCACTCCTTATCGCCCATCCCCTCCCACTTGGGACTGTATGACGGTAACTTTATCACTTGTATCCTTACGATTTATATTGACTGTTTCCTAGTATGATTTGATTGCTTATTGTACCTATGACTATTATTAAGTGTTGCACCTGGTGATTCTTGACTCTTGATGGATGTATCTTTTCTTTTATGCACACTGAGAGTATTTGCACCAAGACAAATTCCTTGTGTGTCCAACCACACTTGGCCAATAAAGAATTCTATTCTATTCTATTGAAGTCCATGGGTCTTAAAGTTGCCAGGTTTAAAAAAATACTGACGTAAGAAATACCCTCTAGCAATGCTTTGCTAAATGGTTAACTCAGCAATGGTGCCACCGTTGAATTCTGGGGGAGTTGAGGCCATGTTCTGTATTGTAGCACACTTCCTCTGATCCAAGTCAAATCAAGGGTAATTTTTCCTGCCTCCCCCTCAAAATTTAAAATTTTGGCCTTGCTTTTTATGAGTCCCAAAAACTTTTAATCCTTAATTTTGTGGATCCCGCACCAGAGGTGCTTTTGATAGCTTGGTTTCCCTAAAGCGGAAAATGCATGCCGTCCACAGCGAACAGCTCGATTCAATGCGTATAAAAATAATAAAGGCTGGATTAAAAAATATAAATAAGTAAGAAGCCCCCCAAGTCATAATATCCGATGTTTTGCTCTGGCTTTTCAGTTCATTCCTTGGAAGAAGCTGTACTATGAGTATTTGAAGGGAATCGGCCACACCTCGCAGACCCTTCAATTCATTCTACAACGGTACGGCCTAACCAAGGAGCACCCCCAGTGCATGCTGGGATTTATTCGGTGAGTGGCCTCCCACTGTCATCTCCTTTGCTTTCTGGTCCTTGAGTTATGACCACAATAGGGAGCAGCAGTATTTTGCTTGCTAAGGGACGCGGTGGCTCAGTGGCTAAGACGCTGAGCTTGTCGATCAGAAAAGTCGGCAGTTCAGTGGTTCGAATTCCCAGCGCCGCATAACGGATTGAGCTCCCGTTATTTGTCCCAGCTTCTGCCAACCTAGCAGTTCGAAAGCAGGTAGAAAAAATGCAAGTCGAAAAATAGGGACCACCTTTGGTAGGAAGGGAACAGCACTCCATGCGCCTTTGGTGTTTAGCCCTGCCAGCCACATGACCACGGAGACGTCTTGGGACAAGCGCTGGCTCTTTGGCTTTGTAACGGAGATGAGCACTGCCCCCTAGAGCTGGAAACGACTAGCACGGATGTGCGAGGGGAACCTTTACCTTTATTCTGCTTGCTTAAGCGAGGCGATTGTTAAGTGTGCTTGATTTTATGATCTTTTTTTTTTTTGGCCACGGTTGTTCAGTAAATCTGCCATCGTTAAGTGGACCATTAGGGTCTTTAAGCAAAGCGGGCTTCCCCCCATTGAGTTTGCTTCTTGGCAGCCAGCTGGGATGGTTGCAAATGGCGATCAGGTGACCCCATTTCTCTTTCTCTCTCTGTGTCTTTTTATCTCTTTCTCTCTGTGTGTCTGTATTTCTCTCTTTCTCTCTCTCTGTCTCTCTCTCTCTCTGTCTCTCTCTGTGTCTCTCCGTCTCTGTCTTTCTCTCTCTCTCTCTCTGTCTCTGTATTTCTCTCTCTCTCTCTCTCTCTGTGGTGACCCGGAGTGTATCAAAAATATAACAAAAACCAAAACATAAATAAAGGTCCTTTAATGCCTTCAACTTGGCTTCACTGTTTAATTGTTCACCGTTGAAGATTAAACTCTTTTCACAATTAACATTCCAAATGAAAGAAACACAGTTCAAATTCAGAGAGTAGATAATGAAGCAAAAGCCGAAAAAAACCCGCACTGAATAAAGTTCCACGACAGACCAGGATAAATAATCACAAACTTCAGGAAGATAACCAGCTACAGTCCGTGGGAAGAACGCCAACCAAGATAAACCTCATCTAGGAATAAAACACTAATTTGTCTCCAGCGTTTGTTAGCACGCAGGTCCAAACTCTTATGCAGATTTCACACCTGCGACCCATGAAGAGGGGATCAAGGCCTTCTCCTCCCAAGTAGACCACGTTTTACCCTGATCCTCTCCTCCCTGCGTGCCCTAGGATGGCTAGGGGATGGGCCTGGGTCCTCCTCTGACTGCTCAGCCGGCCTCATGCCCTTCCCCAGCCTCCTCCACCACCTCTGGAGCCACACTCCCACTCCCTGTTGGCTGTTCCTCCTCTCCCTCCAAGTCAGTCTCCACCAGGAGCATTGTCAGCTGGTGCTCCGTTCAAAATCCAGGAAAGAAATACTCTTGCAATTAGAGAAAAGATGTCTTTTACTGGAAGTCAGTGGTAGCAACAAGAAAATTTTGAATCTGGGTAGATAGGCACGCACATCACATTTATCAAGGGAGTGAAATGTTCCCACCCCCAACAGTTCAAACGGTTGTTCCGATTTAAAAATTGTGAACTACATCATGCGGACATCTCCAGGTGGTGATGATTAGTTGGCCTTGGCTTACTCAGATAAAGGGTTGCAGTTGCGCAGAGAAGAGAAAGCTAAGCAGGAATGAGAAACCCTCCCCAGTTTATACAATATTAGTTAGCAACATTTGCAGCTTACATCCCATACATTTCCCCCTTCCACCACCCCCCATTACTCATGGCAGCCAGAAAGAAGCAAAGGAAAGGAGGAAGATCTTGAAGGCTGACAGGCATGACTCTCTCTCTCACACACACATATATACGCAGAGAGAAGTATGTTTTAGAGTTTATTATTGTTCCCCAGCAATCCCCTTCACACAGCCTCAGAACTTTCCCAAATAAATCCCGCCCCAAGCAGGCCACAGTTAGTCCACAAGGCAGTGGCCAATAGTCCACAAAACAATGGAAAGTCGCTACCGCCAATAAGCCCACCCAACAAACCTAAACCCACCCGGCCAGATGGAAATACACCCAGGCGAGCTCACTTGGGAAGAGAAATTCAAATTCTCCAAGGCAGGAAGCACAAGGAGCAAACACACACAGCCGTAAACCAAACACCTTGTTCCCAGCGATGCCCGATTCCACCCGCTGCAATAAATAGCTTTGATGGGTGCAGCCGATCAAGACAGGCAGGGCCTTCTCCCAAGCAACCTGGCAGATCTCCATTGCTCTTGTCTTTTCTCTGTCCTGAGTGCTCTCGGATCAACCCCGGAAGGCAGCTCCTCTTCCTCTTCACTGACTGTCTGTCCCTGCAAGCTGTCCCCAGCCGAAGCCTCCGGTAAATCTCTTTTGGCCGGCTGATCCAGAGTCATTAATTAACCCAGCTCCTGATGTGTGACGAAGGTGCTCATCCCTCCTTTGAGCCGGCCTCCGAGGAAGAATCTGGGGATTCGTCCAAGGGAGACATCACACCCCAGGGACGCTGCAAACATCACGACCCCATTGCCACAGTTGTTAAAGTGAATCACTGCAGATGATAAGTGAGCAACCCTGTTGTTAAGCGAATCTGGCTTCCCCCGTTGACTTTGCTTATCAAAAGGTCACAAAACAAGGGTCACACAACAACTGTCGTAAGTATGAGTCAGTTGCCAAGCCTCTGCGTTTTGATCGCACAACCACGGGGATACTGCAAAGGTCATAACTGTGAAACAACGGTCATAAGTCCCTTTTTTTTCAGCATCGTTGTAACTTTGGATGGTCACTAAAAGGAAGTGTTGTAAGTTGAGGATTACCTGTATAAGGCCATCACCTGTCCACGTCTATGGAGATTCTCAGTCCGCCAGGTGCTGGTTGTCCCAAAGGTGCTTTTTCAGGAGGCAACTGGACTTTCTGGTTTTCCTCTAAAGACGTTTCACTTCTCATCCAAGAAGCTTCTTCAGCTCTGACTGGATGGTGGAGAATGGAAGGATTTATACTCCTTGCAGACAGCTGGTCACTTGCATCCTTTTAGAGGGTCGTTGAGGCCACTTAGGAGTTTCTCTGTGTCCTCAGGGTCACCTGAGTGGTGCAAATGGTTCTTGAAGTCTGCATTTTTTCCTCTGGAAATCCATTCTTACTCCCACACCGTTCCAAGGGTGGTCACCCCAAAGGGCATAGCTAAACGTCTGTAGAGCTACTCCGTCATCCAGGTCTTGGTTGTCCCAAAGGTGCTTTTTTCCCCCAAGAGGCAACTGGACTTTCTGGTTTTTCCTCTGAAGGCGTTTCGCTTCTCATCCAAGAAGCTTCCTCAGCTCTGACTGAATGGTGGGGGAAGGAAGTATTTATACTCCTTGCAGAGAGTTGGTCATTTGCATTCTTTTTAGAGAGACATGGAGACCACTTGGAGGTTTATCCTCAGGATGATTTGAATAGTGCAAATGGGTGTGGAGCCTTCTTGGAACTGCGGAAAGGACCGTGCTGTAGACTGGAGATAGACGATGTCATGTCCCTCCCCTTCTGTTGAGGGAGGGGTGTTCAGTTTTGACACAGATGGCCTCTTTGACCCCTCCTCTTTCAAACCAGAGGTCCTCTCTCTGTCCAAACTGTGGACTTTTGCTGTCTTCAGAAGGGTGGCTTTTGTCTTTTGAATGCAGATGGGCGGCTGAATCCTGTCCTCATGGGTTTGTTCTCCGATGTTTTGCCTGTCTGGATTCTGGCAGTTGCCCCCAATTAAATCAAGAGTCTCAAGCCAGACTTCCAAAACTTCAAAAATGATTTATTGAGAGTTAACATGTCCGGCAGTGTCTGGGCGTAGCCGACTCTGAGATACGTCATTCATTGTCTCCCTTGAGCCTGGTTTTCCCTCCACCCCTCTGGGTGTATCGTAATTCATATCCTCCAATGGGTCACCTCCATAGCCCAGAGTCATCAATCATGCTCTCCAGTTAGAATTTTGCCCGGCAGAAACTGCAGTCACCTAGTTACTATCTCTGAAAAACTATGCATGGAATGCACTTTCGATTTCCAAGCTGCTGCACTCCTCTTTCAAACCCCTTTCCCCCCTCCCTTTCTGTTGGCAACTCTTAAAATGACCATAGAAATATTTTATGAGTTGACAGTGCCATGCGTTTATAAAGTGGCTGTTTTGTTTCCCCGATGTACAGATCTGCCCATGGCTTGCTGCATAGAATAGAATGGAATGGAATGGAATAGAAAATAATAGAATAGAATAGAGTAGAGTAGAGTAGAGTAGAGTAGAGTAGAATAGAATAGAATAGAATAGAATAGAATAGAATAGAATAGAATAGAATAGAATAGAATAGAATTCTTTATTGGCCAAGTGTGATTGGGCACACAAGGAATTTGTCTTGGTGCAAATGCTCTCAGTGTATATAAAAGGAAAGATCCATTCATCAAGAGTCCAGAATCATAAGATACAACACTTAATAATAGTCATAGGGTACAATAAGCAATCAAATCATACTAGGAAACAGTCAATATAAATTGTAAGGATACAAGCGACAAAGTTATAGTCATACAATCACAAGTGGGAGGGGATGGGCAATAAGGAGTGATGAGAAGATTAATACTAATGGTAGTGCAGACTTTGTAAATAGTTGGACAGCGTTGAGAGAATTATTTGTTTAGCAGAGGGATGGCGTTCGTGGAAAAACTGTCCTTGTGTCTAGTTGTTCTGGTGTGCAGGGCTCTATAGTGTCGTTTTGAGGGAAGGAGTTGAAACAGTTTATGTCCAGGATGTGAGGGGTCTGTAGATATTTTCACAGCCCTCTTTTTGACTCGTGCAGGATACAGGTCCTCCATAGAAGGCAGGCTGGTGGTAATAGTTTTTTTCTGCAGTCCTAATTATCCTCTGGAGTCTGTGTCTGTCTTGTTGGGTTGCACTATATTGCAGTGCATACATCATGTTACTTGGTTTCTTGCCTGGGTGTTTTATCTTTGGGGTGGACCAGCTTCTGCCTTAGTGTATTCACGGGTTTGAAGTGTGCACATATGTTATGTCGGCTAAAGATCCTCCTGAGCTTTTCCGATGTGTCTGCAACGTACAGAATGACAACGTTGCTTGGTTTATTGTTGCTTCATTTATTGAAGCTTCTTGGATGAGAAGCGAAACATCTTCATAGAAAAATCAGAAAGCCCAGCACCTTTGGGATCACCTGTCCATGTTTCTCTTCCCAATCCAGGTGTGCGTCTGCTGTTCGGAGCTGCCACTGCCGAGATCCCACCGCTGTCCTCGCGTGCCTGAAACGCCACTCGCTCTTTCCCAAGGCAGAAGTCTGCATTGCCAAGAATCTTCCGGATTTCGACAGTCTCAAAGAGCAGGTAAGTCTTGGCAGGATTAAACGCTCCCTGGAATTGAGGTTTTGGGATGATTCCGTTGTGTTTTTCCCTTGGATCTGGGTTGTCTTATTGAAAACTTGGGGATGTCACTCAAAAGGTAATGGATTCCGAGAGAGATGGTCTGTCATGCCCCTGTCGGAATCTGATTTGGAGTGGGAGGCCGATCAGCCAACAGGGAGTGGGAGTGTGGCTCCGTTGGCTGTGGAGGAAACTGGTGAAGGACAATGTCCGGCTGGGTAGAGCAGGGGAGAGGTAGAACAAGGGAGAGGGAGTTCAGAGGAAGACCCAGGCCCACCCCTTCTTCATCCTAGGGCACACAGGGAGGAACGGAGAAGGGAGCAACGTGAGTTGCGTGGCTTACAGGGAAGGAAAGGGCCCTGATTCCCTTCATTAGATGCAGCTGGGAACACAGTGTTTAAAAAGGGAAGCAGCAAGTTGTTGGGAGCAAATGTGACTTTATCTTGTATCTAGTGGCTTATCTGTGTTCCTGGCGTCTTCCCAACTGTGTGTGTTTTGCTGGCCTTTCAAGTCTACAATTTCTTCTCCTGCCCCGTCCAGTTAATTACTGCAGCATGATTTGTGTGGATTTTTATTTACAGTTTGTATGTATTTTGTTTTCGGACTGAATTTCCTCCAGTTAAATAAGGCTGTTCTTGGGAGAGTTTTTTCTCCAGCCAAAGGTAACTGGACATTGAGGGCAAAGTTGGAGGTATTAAAGGGACTTTTCTTACTTATGTGACTGTGTTGCCTTTGTGCCACGCCCCTTTGGGTCATCACAGGAGGCTTAAACGCTCCCTGGAATTGAGGTTTTGGGATGTTTCCGTTGTGTTTCCCCTTGGATGTGGGTTTTCTTGTTCAAAAATTGGGGATGTCACTCAAAAGGTAATGGATTCCGAGAGAGACAGTCCTTCGACTTATAAGCATTCGTTTAGTGACCATTTAGTGCAGGGGCCTTCAAACTTGACAGCTTTTAAGACTTGTGGACTTCAACTCCCAGAATTCTTTCTCCAGTCATGTTAGCTCAAGAATTCTGGGAGTTGAAGTCCACAAGTCTTAAAGTTGCCAAGTTTGAAGACCCCTTGATC